TAGATAGATAGATAGATAGATAGATAGATAGATAGATAGATAGATAGATAGATAGATAGATAGATAGATAGATATCCTTCTTTGGGAATCTTTTCCTTTTTATACCTACTATATGTATTCTTTTAAAATGTCATTAAGGTTGTTATATTTTTTCTGGTGCTTTCCCCATTTTCTTTCTCATTGGAATTGTTTGTAATCATAATTTTTAATACTGTCTTCTTTAGGAATTCCTATTGTCATAATTCCTTCTCCCATTTCTCTTTTGCCAAGGAATCCTCATTATCATCGCTATATTAAAACCCACTATTTTTAAGTCCAAGATTTGCTTGAACTAAGAGAAGAACTCCACCATTACCCATTAATTACCACCAATGTTCCTGTTACTTACACTTCCTCAACTAAAATTTCCCTGTTGGCTAGTTCCAAATAGCCAATCCTTCATCATCTAAAAGAGAAAGTTGTCAGCACCACGTAATCAGGAATTTACTGAAAGGACTAAGCTTGGCAGAATTTGTCTCCCAACAGATGTAAGAGTGCTTTCCATAAAGCCCCCCTACCAGTCTACTTCATGCTTCTTTGAATGATCTGTAATTTGCTTTTGGAAAGCATCATCCATATCTACTCTTTCGCTGCGTGGGTGATAGTAGACACAAAAAAACAGTATGGTTTTCATTTGTTTCTCTATTATTTTAAACCAGATGCTGTCTACTATATCAGTAAATTCATTCGTTTGGATTTTTGAGCAGGTGATAACTCTTTACATCATCACCAAGTTCATTCATTAGTATCCAATGCCATTCTATGGTTTCTAGAGTTTTAACGAATTATATCCATGAGAACCATCCCACCACATCTTGATTAATTAAAAGTATTTGCATTCCTATACATTCAGTTCAGTACCCTAACTCTATCATTAATGTACAGATAATGAAGCTTGATCCATTTATGAGTAAATAGTGTTTCTGATTTTTCACTGAGTAATTTAATAAGCCCTAATACAGCAGCTTACTTTTTCTAAAGTCATGATACTTTACCTGAGTTTTTAATTTCAGACTTTGTATAGCTATCTCCTATAATTTCAGGATTCAGCTGAAACCCACTTGGATCAAACTTGCTATGCCTTGTTTTAACATATTTTTACAGTCCTTGTGATGTGCATTTTGTATCAATAGCCCATCTTTCAGAAAATTCAGGCTTTAATCCCAGAAACCAAATCTTTCCCTTAGACACTATTTGTATACTCAGCCATTCATCTGTAGCATTCAATTTTCCCTTTCTGGATCTCTTCCAGGCTGCAAGGGTGGATGAAAAAAACCATATGAGCTACTGGAGTCTTTTAGTTTGCTTCCTAGGCCCTCAAAGTCAAAAGTGATATGATTGCAGCTGTCCTCACTTGATTTAGTAGGAAAGAGTAATTGTCCACTTGACAATTGTCAACTGAAGTTAGTAGGCTGTGGAAGCTGTTTTATCACTTTTTCATTTTTGCTTCTGGCAAATGACATACATCATGAAATTATCAGACAGTTTCATGTCCAGATAAAAATGTCTCAGGCTGCCCAGTTCTGCTGTTTGTCTTATTGCAGAACACAGCACTGTTTTGGGATCCACTGTCTTTTTCTCCTGTTTGCTTGTATCACTTTTTTTTCTCTCCTGAAAGCTCGAAGTCTCTTTCCTCTGTAAGGGTTCAAAATCTTTCTCTTTGGGATAGCAGTGCAATTTATCTTCCCCATCTCTTGCTTGATCTAGTCCCCTGGGTTTGGGACTGTGTTTATCTTCATCTTCCACTATTTATTGTAGAACTTCTTTTATTTGTTCTGATTTCATCTGCTAGAAATATAGGCCAGGTGGTTCCTCTCTAGGATATTCCTCTCAGGCGGAAGCATAAACATGCTATGACTACATATTTTTGCCCATTGATCTTCATGTTGGTTGCTTAAGGTATCAGCAATCAAGGCCTTTATTTTTTCTTGTTCCCTTCTCAGATTAGCCAACTACACACTGTCGGCTTAGAACATTTGTTAAGGATTTTCCTTTAAACTCCCCTCCTGAACTTCACCGGCAAATTCTTATTTGTTCTCCTATTCACTCATGCAGAGTATTGTCACTCAACAGAAAATAAAATATTATCTACTGTAGTATCTAATGCCTCCATCAAATAAAAGCAAATGTTATTTTACTCAAAACTTCCAGTAGATGCTATTACTTTTCATCATACTAAATAGTGCAAAGGTCATGTCAATACTAAAATGCACTGGGACATGTGCGTTTGTTTCAGGAAAAAGCAGTTTTGTATTTTTAAGACCCTTCCAAATTCATATTCTGCTTTTGGCCCAGGACAAAGTTCTGAGTGTTCATTGGTTGGATAGAGCCTGGGAGTTCCGGCATTTTAATTCCAGCCAATTAAAAGAGGATTAGGCTGTCAGCCAGCCATGGCAATGAGTTTTTGTTGATCTCCTACAATATAGGGCTGCTGACTGTATAGCGAGATAAGATACTTTGCTAAAAATCAATTTCCTTAATGAGTTGTTCTCTTCTGAATAACTTGTTTCATTTGGAAACATGGGTGCTGTGGAGATACCAAGGCTCAGAATTTCTCACAAAGGATTCCCAAAGAGGGGTCTTTCCCAAATCCTCCGAGTAAAATGGCAAGAGAGCACTGGGCAGGGGATCTAAATTTCTCAGAGGGCAAAGAGTACCTCTGCTGAGCATCTAGCACATGTCCTTCAGCAGATTCTGAATTCAGAAAGACAGGATATTCACAACTGAAACATGTGGATTAGAGGGCATTGATTAGCACTATTGCCCCAGCATGATGGAAACTGGCTGGTAGAGAGTGAGTTGTTTTGTGGGATTCTGAATTAACAGTCACCCCTCAGATTCTTAGCTAAGTTTAGAGGATTGATAGGTCAATTCATGAAAAAGAACGCTGTTCCATTTCTGAAATTGGGGTTTTAATTCCCCTTTTAAAAAGATTTGAGTCTTTTTTTCCCAAACCTGAAAAGGGAATTAATTTTTATTTCTGCTGGAAATTCAACTGGTCTGCAATGAATTCTGTTAAGTCCACTTGTTTCTGGTAAAAGTGTTTGCATCATTTATATTATTTTTAGTAATATCATTTTAGATAGAGAATATTATTCAGACAAGAAACACACCCCTCCCCAAGAGTACTAGCTCTAACTTTATTATAAGCTTACATTAACAGAATCTTGCAAGTCTGAAAATACATCTGTCCCCCACACCTTGACAATCCAAAAACTAGGGAAGGTCTCTTTTGAGATGTTTGTTCTGTCCCCATTCCTTCTGTAGACTCAGCTGCCTCTTATCTCGTTGTTGTATGGGGTTCCTGCCTCCCAAGGTCATTCTCACATACCATTCTCTCTTTTCCAACCAGCCAGCCAGCCAGCACAGGACAGTCTCTCCGCTCACATCCCCCAGTTCACCTTGCCCCAGTGCACCTGGTCTTAGAGGTTCCAGGTGCATGCAAATCGCCATAGAGGAAATATCAACACTGTTAGGCATTCAAGTCTGAAAGTTATCTTCTCCCTCCCTCCAAAAAAACCCCACAAACCCTATACCCTATACAAATAAGCAAGTAGATGAGACAAAACAAACCAGGGCAAAACCTATTCATTGATCTTTAGATGGTGCTGATGAGGAAATGGAGTATCCTTTTAGAGGGCAGGATTGATCTCCAGAAGAGCATTTCATCTCACAATATCTTGTGGCAGCTGCCACATCTCTTTAGCTGAGACTCAGTAGAACCTGTTAACCAGAAACATGTGATCTGGAGAAGCCTGAAGTCTCTCCAAGCGCTCTTTCCCCGCAGGGTCTTTTTAAAATGCATCAGGAATGAACAGGGCATCTATATGGCTTCCCCAAATCATAATGCGGCCTCCAATATTTCTCTTCTCCTCCCCCCACCCACTCATCATCTAGAAAGTTAGGGATTAGGCTGCTCCCACGTTGCTTGCCACCATCAGCATTTTATGGGGACTTAGATTGGGGAGGAGGTCATGGGTCATTATGTAGACTCTACTGCCTGTCCATCACCTTTACAAAACTCCGATTACACTCCCCCCACTTTCCTCCTCTTGGCTGTCACTGTGAATCAGGCCTGCAGTCAGTGGGAGTGATAACTGTCTATCAGAGCTCCCTTGGCCCTCTTTTCCCCCTTCACCAGCCTTGTGGGCTCCTTAACTGGATGGGTGTGTTCATCCACTTCTGATCACTCAGGCATAATGCCTTTTCAGGTTGGCTTTGTCTGTGGCTTGACGTTTGACTTTCAAAACAGTCAGGGGTTTTAAAAGGCTTTCAGTGAATAACAGAGGCTGCGGCTCCATGGAGGCCTCTCGGTGGTGCTTTCCATTCACCCTCCAGGAACAGGTTAACCCTTATTATTACAGAGAAAAAGGCCCTTCAGAGTACAGCTGAGAGTGACGGTGAAGTTTAAAGACCAAGGAACAGGTGCAAGAGCTTTAAGGCATTTCTAAATACCCACAAAGACATTTTCGGCTGAGACCAACTATTGCCAAGGCTAGGACACCCCATCTTGGTGGGGATTCAAAGGCCAAAGCAGAATATGGTCAGAAGATACAATCCCCAGAGCAATGCAGCCCTTTACACATGATGAAGCTATATTATATTTGTGTTGAGGACAAAAGTTGGAGAAAAACTCAAACTTGTGGAAATGCTAGAACTCTAAGAATGTACACACCAAATGAGATATTCAGGAGTTAAGTACATTATATGGTATCTGATCAGCACATCTGGCTGTTGTAACCTGATCTGGTCCTTTGCTAAACCCTACATTAATGTCTTGAAAATTATACATGGACTTCACAGAAAGTATCACTGACTTCCAAATGCTTTCAGAAATGCCAGTGAATTCCAGAGGAAAAACCATTATGCTATTTTGATATATTTTCTCTGATACCGGTTGAATATTTTAGGGAGATGACAGACAGGATCATAGAATATGACAGTGGAATTTCACATAAAGCCAAAAAAAAAAGTTCTTCCACTTTTTGTACATACAGCACATATTTGTCATATTCTAAAATCTGTTGAACATGTGTTTTAAAATGTTGATGAGGTGTGCCTTCTCTTCATTATTGTGTCTCTCTGGAGACACAATACAAATTTACAAATCTTTGTAAATTTTGTTACAAATCTTTGCATCTGTGCAGAAATGTAAACTAACTAACTCCCCAGTTGTAGAAGATAGCTTACAGATTCTTAGAAGGCATAGAACCAGAATTGGCATCCTGTTGGTCTTAAAATACCTGGATGACAAAGTTAACATCAGAGAGAATTGTAGGAAGAAACAGCTTCGCCATGGAGGAGATGGCAGACAGCTAAAGGTGCTATAAAATGACTGAAATGGATTTAGATCACCCTAGGTCTGTTCATCTTAATACAGAGAAAAATTCTATAGTGTTGAAGGCTGAGTGGAATAAAGTCCACGAAAGGGTTGAGAGTGAGACCCAAAGAAAAACTCACTGAGGAGCAAAAGTGCTGTAGGAGGGATCTAAGATACCATTAGAGCATCTAATAATTAACAGAGAGCCAATTTGGTGCCGTAGTTGAGGTTCTGACCTAGGAAGCAGGAGACTGTGAGTTCTAGTCCCAGTACAGGCATGAGAGGCAGCTAGGTGAGGTTAGGACAGTCATTCTCTCTCAGCCCAACCCTCACAGGGTTGTTGTCGTCGTGGGGAACATAGGAGGAGGAAGGAGTGTTAGGCATGTTTGTTATAACATTTAGCAATACTGAGAGTGGGTGTGGATTAAGTACAAATGTATGTTAAGTTCATTTCATATCTAACATAGGTTTCTTAAATCTGTTGTGAGGTTCGGTTAGAGAGCAGAAAAATAATACTCACTTTGTGCGTTTGCTATCATTCAGGAGGAAGAACAATTTATTCTAAAAAAAAATCCAAAACAGTTGTGATTAAGTCAGGAAGGTGAAACTTCTTGCCTGTTCTAATAAAATCTGGCTGGATTTTCTTCTTGCTGTCTTTAAATGAAGAGAGAGGGGGGGAGGGAGAGGGAGAGGGAGAGAGAGAACAGGGAAAATATTTGGCTCTGTCTCTTTCAATCAAATCCCTTAAACTCATGTATGTAAACTATTACAACTTATTTTTATAATTTAGGTTTTTAAACAGCTCAAGGAAGTTTGTTGTGAGTGATAAAGTATAGGAATATCTTTAATAAATAAACAGTATGTTTTCCTCCCAATAAAGTTAAAAATATAATTAATGTGCCCTGAAGTAATGGATGAGTTGTTAACTAGGTACAGAAATTATCTGGAGTGCCTCATATTAATTAGTTTTGGCCTAAATCAGTGTCTCTCAACCTTAGCAACTTTAAATTGCATTGATTTTTTAAAGAAAGTTTCAGCAGTAATTACTTACTCAATTCTGGGAAGTTCTTGAATAAGGCAGTTTTAAAGAGTTGGTTCACTGTCTTCTCGTGGCTGTTGTCTCTTCACTTCCCCCTTCTGTCTTGGTTTACCCTTCTCTCTTGGCTTAATCTGCAGAACCATTCAGTGAAGATGCAAGGAAGATAATGCTCTGTGTCCTCAATTTTATCAATTCTTATCATTGTTTTCCTATCCAGTACAGGAGTGTATTTATGGGTGTCTGTGTGAGAAACACAGAAGGGTGTAACAACATGAAGATTCTGAGGTATCACTTTCCAAGGATGCTGAAAAATGCTTATCTCTGATGACAATCTTATTTTGAAAGCCTTGATTTTTCATCCAAATGTCAACATAGTTAAGTAGTCAACCCAGCAGCCAACACCTCTGCAAGTTTCTATTTTGTTGAAACTTTCCAGCCCGACATGAATCCCATTAGCTTTCAGTTCTGTGTGTTCTGCAGCAGATTCTGCCTGAAGCAGTCTTTGTTGCTTCTGTATTTGTAAAGAGCGTTTTCTTCAGAAAGTCTGTGAGAAGATGAATCCCATTTGAGCCAGATGATACACACAACCAGCTTGGCATAGTCTGTGGGCCCACAATTCCACAGTGAAGATGCTTCATCCCTAATATTTGGAACCACCAGACTCTTCTTGAAGAAGGTGATGACCCTGGCCTTTAAGATCTGAACAATTTGGCTCCAGGTGACATCAACCATACCAATTTGCCTATTCTTTGAGATCAACCAGCATTGCATTTGTCCATTTTAAGGCAGAGAGGACTGGTGTACAAGCAGTGATGCCCTGAACCCAGAATGCAGAATTCTCTTTCAACTGACAGGGACTATTGTTACCTTTTATTCCAGAATGCCCTAAATATCAGATTGAACTGAGTTTTATGGAACTCTGCTATATATGTATAAATAACTGCAGGGGTGCGATTCAAATTTTTAACAACTGGTTCTGTGGGCATGGCTTAGTTGGTGGGCATGGCTTGGTGGTCATGTTATTGGCTGGGCGTGGCCAACTCAATATCACTCACATCAAGGCATGCATCTCCTCGCCTGGCCTCTCATTACTGTGGGGATGCTGCAACAGTTGTAAGTGTGAAAAACGGTCATAAGTCACTTTTCTCAATGGTCACCCCACACAAGCAAAGTACCAGCAAAGAGAGGGAAAAAAACCTCCAGAGACATTCCTGAGACAGGAAGTCTAGTCCTGCCAAGAATGTAATAGGGGTTAATGGAGAGGCAGTTTCTGTAAGCAACACCAGAATGTTTCCTTCCTGCTTTCCTTACAGGATTAGGCCAGTAATTTCCTCTAACAACCAGTTCTCCGAACTGCTTAGAATGTTAACAACCTGTTCTAGTGAATAGTAGGTGTGAACTGGTAGAATCCCACCCCTGAATAACTGCTTATTACTGGACTTAATTCATAACTTGGTTTTATTATTGTTGGGCTTCATTCACTTTTTAGATGACCTTAAAAGCCATCTGCATCAAGTTTTAAAACCTAACTTGAGAAGATTTATAATGAAAAGTAAATGATAAGTAGTTTATTTGATCATTGTGGTACCTCCCAATAACAGTTTCAGTGATACTTTTATCTGTTTGCCTGCGCCTGAGGAGACAAGTAAAGGAACCGAGAGAGCCATCAATATCAATGTGCTACAGGTATATCCCTCTTTTAGAGGCATTGCTACAAATTTATTTGCCTTTGAATCCTGTACTCTAACCTTTTTCTTTTCTTGAATTAATCAAAAAGTAATATATAAATCAAAATGAAAAATAACTCTCTCAGAATCTATAGAAAACAACAAAAACATTTCCCCCCAGTTTTGTCCCCTATAGCAGTATCCCCCAACCTTTTGGGCACCAGGGACCAGTTCCACGGAGAAAGGTTTTTCTGTGGACCAGAGGGGGTGTGGTTTTGCATGCTGCCTGCATCCCATGGATGGGGCTTCGCTTGTTTGTGCGGACCAGTTGCAGACATGCTGAGGACTGGGACCGGTCCATGGACTGGATGTTGGGGACCCCTGCCCTTATACCATGATGTTTATTTCAGCTCCCATCTAACATCCTTCAGACAAGATGGAAGATAACCTCCAAAATTTCTAGCCATAAAAAATTAGATGATTGTGATGTAAATGTTTATATAAATACAAAAGCCAGATTGTGGATGAGGAAGATTTTCATACTTAAGCCTTAAATAATCAGATAGGCAAATATATTTGCAAAGCTCTTAATATTTTGTTTCTAAACATTCAAATTTCAGATTCATGGTGAAAATGCTCTTGATTCAAGCTCAGGTCTGGGTATCTACATAGATATTTAATTTTCTTGTCAACAGTTCAGATATGGTTTGCCATTGTTTTTTTCCCAGCATATTTTTTCAACTCCTCAATCTAGCTTCTGGCCCTCTGAATTTGTGATGGTTTCCCATTCAAATCCTACATAGTTTCAAGCCCACTTACTTTTTCTGAAGACAACCGAGGTCAGCTGAGTACTTTCACCCAACACAAATCTGCAGACTTTTCTCAGTGTACATGTATTACTTTCTCCTTAGTATATAGGATTTTGAAGAGTTGTTTAAGAAGACTCAGTAGAGAATTAATGTTACGATGAATAACTATGAGGGAGCTGAAGAGTTATTTTAAAAACGCAATAAAATCATAACAACCTAAATAGTTACTGTATGCTATGAATCTCTTGTAATGATTGCTTGGAGAGCTTCTAGAACCGTTTCAAACTGTATTTCTATATGTAGTGGGTTTTTTTCCTAATGTTGAAATGCAACATCAGCAAGTTTTCACTTCTTTAAATGGTAGTATTTTAACAATATGCTGAGTTTCCAGCTGCAGTTGGTTTCTGCTACTCTACCCCATTTTCACCCTTGGTGTTCTGTGTTTGTGTGCTATGTATTTTATTCTGTCTTTGATGTGTAATTTAATGATGTTGTAGCTTTTTCTATTGGTTGCATTCTTTAGCTTTTCAAACAGCTTTGTAAACATCTATAAAACAGACAAATGTTTCAGCCATATTTTTGTATCATTTTGGCTTGTAAATGAATATCGGTAGGGTAGAAATATGCATAGCTTTCCTCTGGATGGTCTCCAGTTGTGTGCAATCTTCAGTCATCTTTCACACTGCTTGAGTGTGCTGTTCAATGCCTGCTGTCAGTGAATACTGTTAGTATTTGGGAGTGAAAGTGTAAGAAAATGTGCTTTCCTCTTCGACTGTTAGAAAAAAGGAACACAAGAGTTTGATTTAGGATGCATTCTTGAAAGTATTTTGGTTTTCAATATATGTTTATATCTGATATAGATTGTATCTTGAAGGTAACTTCCTGAATTTCCAGATGAAAATTTCTTGAAGAAGGAAGACAGGAACTTTATAAAATATTTGCTCAACTGCTAAGCCATTATCTTTCCCTAAAAATTCATGTGTGATCCAGGTGAAGCTTAAACTCACCCTTTAGCATCATTCTGAAGTCCACTGTACTCCTGTAAGTTTTGTATCTTGTCCAGTGGTGTATTAACCATTAAGCAGGCTAAGCATGTGCTTAGGGTACCAGGCCCAAAGGGGGCACCACAAAGTTGAAAAGATGGCTTCGTTTGTACATTATGTACAAAGGACGGGGGCACCAGTGAGCCTTAATCCGCCACTGATCTTGTCTACTTGTTCCCTTGGGCAGACAGGTTCTAACATTACCCATGGAAAGGAACTATGCAACTGCTAAAGCTCTTTCTTTACTCCTCTTTAAAAAAAAAATACATAACAGACGTGTCAGAAGAGAGAAGGCAATTGCAAATGGAACACTCTTGATGTCTGAAACTCAAAATGTATGAATTAGACAGGACAATTGAACAGCAAAAGTTTCTTCTAGCTATATCATGGATATCAGCTCCTGACAATAATATCTTGGGCAAAACCAAGAAAGATTTCTTTGGGGCCTGAAAAGCTTATACATTTATTGTGGTGTCAGTTTTTGTAAGATAAAACCCAGAAATGTAAAACGATGCTTTGTCATATGATATAAAATGATCCCAGGGCACCTCCAAGAAATAAAATCATTAGCTAGTTTTGGCTGATCTGAAGATTGATATCTATTGCCTCATTTCCTTAAGGAAAGTTATAGAAAATCCTTCTCATTGTTTAATAATTTTTCAAGTTTAATTTTAGATTTCAAGTACCATTCCTTCCTTTGTTTTCTTTGGAGAGATGACTTGAATATGAAGCAGAGAAAATGTGCAGATTTTAGCCTCCTAAACTTTAAAATGTGTTATTTTTGCTGAGCTGGGATTTAAACTCTTTCCAGGTTTGCTGTGATGGAGAAATTAATGTCTATTGCATTTCCAGCTTGAGCTCATTCTCTGTTCACAAAGTTGGATTTGGTTCCTATTGGGATCTTGATTTGTATCTCTGTAGATATTGGGATGGTTGCAGGATACATTGAGCTCTAGTATTTGAGTTCCCACATTCTCAACACTAACACACACAAGCCTTCCCATAATTATCTAAATTAATCCATGCTTGGTACTGTAATATGCAAATGTTGGCTATGGGATTTGCTAGGAGTTGCTTAGCTCCTATCATGCAGATTCTGTCTCATTGCCAGGTTCTTATCCTAAACCATACTCAGCAAGGTGCAACCAGAAATCAGTTTGCAATTCTATAATTGGTATAGATTCATGTTGCCTATGTTAGACTGCAACCTGTGCTTACAGTATTTTACACACATTCTGTAAATGTAGGGCCAGCACTGGCATCCGTTCTTACACACACACACACACATTTACATGTTCCAAGCAGGTGGAGAAAATGGAAATATTTCTTCATTTACCTAGTTACTTACTCTATTTATACACTTCCTCTCAGTTGTTCTGGTTCTGAAAACAGTTTACAATTAAAAATTATTAAATGCATTCAAACTTAAACATGAATTTAGAAACCCTAGGGCTATTTTTTTAACTAAATCACAGCAACCACATAGAAAAGAAAGAGAGCATCACATATTTAGTTAGGTGGGGGAATAACTACAGTTGTTTAATTTAACTGTGAAATGCCATAGAAAAAAAGGCATTTTTTTTGTTCCACATCTGAAAAAGACAGAATTGGGAGGTAGGGAACTCCAAAGACAGAGTCTTTATGGGAGTAGCACAAATGGAAGAAAAAAATATTTAATATATTACAGTGTAAGACAGGAACCTTTTATTTGAAAGAATTGGCAGGCAGGCAGAAATCATGACCACGTGTTTCACATAAATAGTAAATTCTGCATATAGCCTGCTTGCAGCCTAACAGCTAACTTTTGTGTTGGTCCTCCATTCATTGACCATGGATAAAATATTTTAAGTATGGATTGCAGCATGAGCCAATTTTGAATATAAGCCAAGCAAACTTTGTGTGTTACTTAGAGAAACCTGGGGCTATTCTGCTGTATGATTTAGAATCCGGAGGGGCCTCTTCATACGAGCTAAACAATTCTTGAGAACAAACATGTATTTACTGCCAACATGTAGTTTTTCCTAAAGTGGCTGAATGATTTTACTATTTCCATCCACCATCCATATATCTGCCCTTTTTATCTGTGTGAATACTTCCTATGATCCTGATTTTCTTTGCGTTCACCCATCACTTTTCTTTGCTTCTTTTACTTCCTTCATCTCCACACTATCCTTCTGTTGTCTTTCCTTGTCTTCCCTTTGGATCTATTGCCCTATTGCCTGCTCCCCATTCACCTTTTATTCTTATTCGTTCATCTCACTACTTTCCTTCATTTCTTTCATGATCTCCAATTTTTATTTCTCTTATTTCGTTGATCTCCATCACAATTTCTTCTTTCTGCTTCCCAGGGACAACTTCTCCCTTTTATAAAACATCCTCCTTTCCTATTGTTGAATGTGGTATTATTAAAATAGGAGGTTTCTAATAGGAGGTTGGACAGACAGTACAATACAAGTTCTTCAACAGGTAAACTCCAACAGGTAAAGTAATGGAGTGAGCTCCCATTACTTGTTCCAACTTCTGCCAACCTGGCAGTTTGAAAGCATGTAAAATGCAAGTAGAAAAATAGGGACCACTTTGGTGGGAAGGTAACAGCGTTCCATGCACCCTTGGCATTTAGTCATGCCAGCCACATGACCACGGAGATGTCTTTGGACAGCGGTGGCTCTTCGGCTTTGAAACAGAGATGAGCACCGCCCCCTAGAGCCGGAAACGACTAGCATGCATGTGTGAGGGGAAACTTTACCTTAATAGGAGGTTGGGCCAACAATGCAATATAAGTTCTCCAACAGGTAAAATCCACCATGGAAAACATAAATATCTCTTGCTACCAAGATCTAGGTCTAATCTATTGTCTGTTTCACCCAGCATTTCCTACTCTGAGCAAAAGTCATTCTCAGATTCTATAGCAAGAGATCTTTTCCTTTAACCTCAAACTATCCACTATTGACCTCACCCCATTCCTAAGAGGTCTGTAAGGGGCGTGCCTAAGTGCACCATCGTGCCTACCATCCCTGTCCCCATTTATTTGTACCTATTTCCTATATTCTGACTCATGTTTATACTTATACCTATTATCTTGTAAGCAACTGACAAATCAAATAAATAAATAAATATTGGAAAAGGATTGTACCA